CCCTAAACCCCAGACTCTAGACCCTAAGCCCTGAACTCTGAACCCTAAACCCTGAACCCTAAACCCTAAACCCTAAACCCTAGACCCTAGACTCTAGACCCTAAACCCTAAACCCTAAACCCTGAACCCGAAACCCCCTCCACCAAAAGGCCGAAGACCCGGACGAGGCCGTAGCCGAGGCTCGGCCCCGGAGGGCGCCGAGCCAGTTCTTCTCCCGGAGGAGCTGGGAGGAGGCGCGAGGGGCCTTTGCTCTACCATGGTACTCCATACATGTGGGAGCTTCCGAAAATAAGGGGACCTTATTTCGGGGGTCCTTATAATGAGGATCCTACTATTTAGGGTAGTATAATAGGGTCCCCTATTTTCGGAAACCCCCATGTCTGTACACAAACGTGTATGCTTGCATTACTTCTTGAAAATGTTATACACGTTTGTTCTCAGTTTATCTATCTATCTATCTATCTATCCATTCATCCATCGATCTATCTATCTATCGATCTATCTATCTATTTATCTATCTATCGATCTATCTAGCTATCTAGCTATCTAGCTATCTAGCTATCTAGCTATCTATCTATCTATCCATTCATCCATCGATCTATCTATCTATCGATCTATCTATCTATCTATCTATCTATCTATCTATCTCTATCTGTCCGTGAGTTTCCGTGTGTCTGTGTTACGTATGTGCCGGCACGTATGTTTATCTGCATGCGACTTGTTATTGGGTGTTCCTCCGTTTCGAGCCCCACTTTCAGCATTCCAGGTTTGGAGCCTCGAACTTGCCCTGATTTGGAGATCGGAGTTCTGCGTCTTGGGGATTTGGGGTTTGTGTGGGGCCTTCCTGACAGGAGTGTTCCCGTGCTGGGCTCTGTGCAAGCTTTTGCGGTCCCGAGTTGCACTTTGCCAGAACGCAGCTGCCAAACTCCAAAGCCTGATACTGCAGATACCCAATAAGCATCATCCTTAACCCAGCGCTCTCCAAACCCGAACACCCCTAAACAAAGCCCTCTAGAGTATGGCGCATTGCTGCAAGATCGACGGTTTGACAGACGAGACGACCAGCCTGGCGTGGAGCTTAGCAGGGACAGCTTGAGTGTGGGTTTAATGTACGGCCCAGGGGCTTTACTGATTAGACTAGTATTCCTTCTAGCTCCTTACACTAAATGGGCATCATAATGTAACCCCCAAGCCGGAGTCTGCTTATTCAGGTCTCTGCTGAAATGCACGGCTTTTCATGTTTAGCACTGGTCTGAAGGGGCCGTCAGGCCCATAGCTTCCGTCACTACGTAAGTCGAGGGATTGCCCTCAAGGTTGAGGTTTGTTGCCAGGCGCCTGAGCTTGAAGGCCAGTTGAAGCGGTCTTGCAGCGCCCGGCCCCCCGTTTCCTGCGCGCAGGCACGCAGCATGCAGCTGCCCCGGCCTTCGCGAATCCAATACCAGAAACCTGCTCGCATCCTGTTAAGTTGTGGGACGAGTTTTCGCAGTGTTGCTTTTCCACGTGGTGGAGCTGGTGGTTGCCAAACCGGGTTCGCTTTAGGCCGGCTGTGCCAGGTTGTGCGGAGCAGAAAATCGTAGCAACGATTACCTTTGCCATTGCTATGATACTATAGTTCCTACTATTTTTCTTGTTCGTATTGTTGTTACTACGACGACGACGACTACTACTAATGATACTACTGCTGCTGCTGCTGCTGCTGCTGCTACTACTACTACTACTACTACTACTACTACTATTGCGATGACGACCACGCCTACTAGATTACTGCTTTTACTTCCGCTGCTACATGCACTGTCACTGCCATTACTACTATGATGACAATTTCTGCCACAATTACCTTGTTTTGCTAGCATCACTGTTGTTACTCCGATTACGATTTCCGTTATAATTGTGATTGTTGTTGTTATTGAGTAGGTTGTTATTATTACGAGGACTACCGTTGTTATCATTTTGTCCAGTATTGTCACTACCCCGTTTGCCATTATCCAAGGAGCATTCCGGAGGTCGCCAATGGCGGTCGCCCCAGAGGATTGCAGTAGGGTTTAGGATTTTGCGGGCCTACGGTTGTAAGGCTGAGGGCTTTATGGTTTTAGAGTATTAGGGCGTTAGTTGTTAGCGTTTTACTGTTCTCGGGCTTTAGGGTTTCAGGGTTTTAGGGCATTTAGATCTCAGGTAAGTTTTCACATGATCTTACGGCTTTTGAACCCAAACAAACGGTAACAAACGAAGCCACAAAGCACCACAACCACTCACATAAGCCGGCACAGACAGCCAAGCTACTGAATACATTTGGCAAGCAGCCATACAGCATCAATACATTTGGCAATCAGGAGTCATGTTTTCATCACTTCCCGTCTGCTTCTGAAGCGAAATGTGGCAATATCTCTATCAACTGTCGATGCCCGTAATTCTTAACTTTTGGCAAGCGAGTATCTTGTGTATCTTTGAGAATCGTTTTGATTCAGAATCTTGACTTCTTGGCTTTCAGTCCCGAAAGACTAGTGTTTTCAAGCAGTGTTCGTATTCTTCTCCTTCTCTAAACTTCTGGATGGCTTGCGAAAAGCGGCAAGGGTGCAATGTGTTTGTGATAGAGGATTCAGAAATTGTGTCAGGGGTCGTTGCGATCCACTTGTTCTTATGTATACTACTTTGGTCTATCCTTACATTGCATGTGTGCAGTTGGGATGATAGTGTCGTCTTGGAAATTCCAACCGGATGTAAGCTAACTGTTGTATTGGTCTTGTGGTGGGGAGTTGGTAGTGTCGTTTTTGGGAGATGTAGGCTAGAGCACCCTCAACCCTAAACCCTCGGGATAATCGTTTGATGGGTTGGCTGGGGCTCTGCCGACTGAGCGGAGCGCTGCTTGGCTTCTCCAACGTTGGGAGCAGCATGCGCATTCGGACGCAATCGTGGTTCATGAGAGCCATGAAAACGATACCAAGAATTTGTCAGAATTTGTTTGGCTAAGATCAGGAGACATAGGACCTGGCCTGTCCCAACAGCAACAAGCACTGGCACCACAAAGCCCCCATCGTGATATCCAAAACGACAGCCAACACATACGTTGACTACATCCAGCATCATCCAGCCACGTCCAGCACCCCAAGCTTTGAACCTAGAAGCCAAAAGCTGCGAGCTCCGAGGACCCCCCTAAGCGCAAAGTCCTTTACTTCTTCACCTCAGCGAGGCCGGAATGTGGTGATCGCAGATCAGTCTGGCCACTGTCCCAGATCTCAGGGCTCAGGGTTCTAAAGCTTTGCTTTTTGCAGTTTGGCTTCAGGGTTTGTGGGGACGTTTCGGGTTTTGTGGTTGAGGAATCCTGACCCATCCACGGGAAATCGTAGCCCGTGTCGTTTGCTGCTCATGCTTTTTAGGGCCCAGGGTTTATTCTTCATTAAGCGTTGTTGGTGTCCCTTGGTTTGTGGCACTTGCGCTTCCGCCGGGGACATCCCGGGTTTCACACAACCCCGAAATCCTTCAACCAAACCTTCAACCCGAAACCCTTATAAGCTTAAACTAGTTCACGGAACATCCGTTGAATGAGTTTGGGCCACGGAGTCCGGGTCGGGGTTTGCGAGGCTCCGGCAAGACATTGGCATATTTGCTGCCGCTGATCCAGCGCCGCTTGGCCGTGGTGTGTTGTGGAAGGTTACGGTACGTCTGAGTTCCAAGGTTCGAACACTGCATATCGGTTGGTTGGGTGGTGGGATGTTTGTGCATGAGGCAGAGGCATCGAGCACCAGTTGCCACATACTTATCGCGATTCAACGCCAACTTAGTTCTCCCGCCCGCGCCACCAAGAAGCCACCTAAACATGAAATGCTGAAACCCACCCACCTGTGGGGATCTACCGCCAAACTCTTTAGGTGCTGCTTTGTGCGTCTATGCAAACGTGATGGGATGCCGGCCAGGCCACGTCCTGCCCACCGACCCCGATGACCGGCGTGTTCGGATCATCGTGCGTGACCCGGGGGGTCTGAAGGGGTTTAAGTTTGCACGTCGACGGGAGTTTGAACCTTCGTATGCAGATGTCTCCATCACTATCTCTACTTCCATCTCGCGTCTATATCTGATCTGCATCTATATCTGCATGTTTGCATGCATGCATGCATGCATGTATGTGACTGTATGTGTAGGTATGAGTATGGGTTTACGAATTGCCCGTCTAGATGAGGTGGTGGCGCCCACATCGGATCTGGTTCAGCAGATCGCCGAGGTCGCCCGGGTCGATGCCTTAGAGCCGCCGGTGCTTGAGGGTTTCCGTTTGGGCGTAGGGTTTAGGCTTCGGAATGGCCCCCACAGCCTGAGTCCAAGTTTCCATTCCCCTATTGTTGAGATGATGGAGACTTAGAGGTTGAGGCGCCGAGGCCGTTAACTGTCAACTATGGTCTTAAGCAGCTGGGCCTCAGGGCAGTTTACGTAGGATCGCGGAAGTCCTTGTGATCTCTGGAAGCCGGCCACCGAGGTAGTTTTTGTGGCTGGGGTTTTGACAGCATATCCTTTTGTGAGACACAAGGTTAGAGTTTAGGGGCTTCGGGCCTTTGTGGTTCATTGTTTAGAAGGCAGTGTGGACTTCGGAGCTCATCCCCAAAAAAGTGCAGCCAAACTCTGAGGCACAAGCCTTACACCCTGGCGTCTCAAGGTCCCGACTGGCTCTCAGAGTTCCAATCGACCCCTTTTCATTTTCGCCGCATCCATGGCGACCAGCGCCCCGCTCCTGGGTAAGGAGGGCAAGGCCGCCCATAGCAA